AAAAAAAAAAAAAAAAAAGATCTTTTTAGTATCTACCACCTTGGGAAAGTCACCTCACCTCACCTCTCCGAGCCTCAGTTTCCCTAGCCAGAAGAAGGGGATGCAGGCGGCAGAGTGGGTATTGCTACTCGATGGCACAGGCAGGCATGTCTGCCTGGCCTGCACCTGCCAGCCCTCCCGAGGGGCTGGTACCTACAGCCACTGGATGTGGTTCTTGGACTTCTTGGCAATGAGCTGGATGCCCTCAAGGACGTTGGTGATATCGTAGATGCGCCGTTTCTGCACCTTCAGCACTTCAGCCGCCCAGTTGAGGTCAACAACACCATCAGCTGAGCGGCTCAGCAGCTCCAGGAAGCGTTTGGTGGTCAGATTCAGCGACGTCTCATAGCGTGACTTCTCTCCTGGGGATTTCACACCTGGTTGGGTGGGGAGAGTCAGGCAGGCAGGCTCCCCAGCACCCACCCCTGCCCCAGCCAGGCCTGCCTCTCTGGCCATGCAGAGCCACAGGATGGGGGACAGGGGGCAAACAGCTCCCGCCCCTTGGCAAGGCCAAGTAGGGAGGCCCTGTGGCTAATCCCTGTCAACCACAGCACCGCCCTTCTGGCCAGGCAACTCCCACCCCACGGGCGCCCGGAGGCCTGGCTCAGGCCCAGGCTTTGGTCTGTAAGCATGTTTGTTTGTCCACACCCCCAACCAGCGCCTGGTCAGAGGGGCCTGCCCAGCCCAAGCTCCATAGGTACCTTTTCCTGGGTGGCGGCCTCTGCCCCGGACCGGTCCACTGCTCTCGGCCAGGTACTGGTGGTCAGTTTCCAGGTCCAGCCTCCGCTTCACCTGTGGCAAAAACAATGGGAGGATGCCCAGTAACCAGGAGTGAGGCCACAAAGACCTAGCTGAGGGCATGGTGCCCCTGGGCTGCCCTCTGCCTCAGTTTCCCTGTCAGGACGCCTAAGGGTGTGACTGAAGGAGGTCCTCGGGGAGGTTACAGTCCTACCACACAGGACACAACTGGTAAGAAAAAGATTCACATTCAAGACCCAACTCTTCCACTTCTTCTCTGGGGCCAATGGTTATTTAAAAATATGTCCACCAATTTTTTGATACTTCTTCAAAAGATGAAGCCTAATTCTCCTTCCCCTTAGTTACAGGCCAGATCTGGCATCCTGCTTCTAATAAGCAGAATGCAGTGGAGGGGACAGCACATCACTTCTGAGCCTGGGCCTAGAAACACTGGGGACTTCTAGCTCTGCACTGAAGCCCTCTGCAAGCAGCCAGCTGCCACATCATACAAACATGCAAACAGCCCCAGAATGGGCACAAGTGCAAGGAACATGGGTGAGCTTAGATGCAAGTCCTCCAACGTCAGTCACGACATTTGTGTGTGTGTGTTGAAGCCTCACTGTCACCTAGGCTGGAGAGCAGTGGCATGCTCACAGCCACCACAGCCTCGAACTGCTGGGCTCAGGTGATCTTTCCATTTCAGCCTTCCAAGTAGCTGAACTACAGGCGTTCACTGCCACACCTGGCTAATTTTTTGATTTATTGTAGAGATAAAGGTTTGCCAAGTTGGCCCAGGTTGATCTCAAACCCCGGGCTCAATCACAACTTCTGACTGCAGCTGGGCCCAACACTTTGGACAAAGCCTTAGAAGAGACCCCAAGCCAGAAGCATCCAGCTAAGCCTCTCCTGAATTCCTGATGCACGGAAGTCATAGGAAGTCTGTTTTAATCCAGAGTATACAGGTCCCTTGGGCAGGTCACCCCCATCTGGTTTTTCACGCATCTGTAATCACGGTAGCAGCTGGTGCTCACCAAGTTCTTTGCATACATGAATTCCATGCAATCGTCTGGCAATACATGAACAGTCCCAGTTCACAGATAAGACAGCTGAAGCCCAGGGAGACCCAAGGTCATAGAGCCAGGAAGTCAGAGAGCCAGGATTCCTTCACAAGACAGTCTGAGGAAAAACACAAGCTCCGTGCACCTGGTTTGGTTCAGACACTCAAGGATCGAGACTGCCCTGGAAGTTCTACAGACAGCTCAAATGCACCCCACCCACAAACAGCCAGGCCACCATCCACAGGGATTCCTGAGCTAGAATCTCACTCCTCGCACCTGCCGCCCTCCTCATCACCACAGCCACCGTTACCTCCCCACGGGCCGTTCACAGTCTCCACACTGACCTCCCTGCCTCTGCCACAGCCAGTCCTGCAAGTCTTAACCACGTGCCGCCCGGCCTAAGCCTTCCTCCCGCTCCCCTGTCCTCAGTGCCTTCACCTGCCCCTGCTTCTGTGTAGGAACTTCCGAGACAGGTTCAGACACCTGCACCTCCAAGCCTGGACAGCCCTTGCCTCTCTCTGTCTCCTTCAACCTGCTGCCTCCAGCTCTGTGGCAGGCACCTCCCATCAGTCAACAGAGGTGTTGCCTCTTCTCCCTGGAACGCCCTCCAACTCCTTGGCGTATGCTGTCTCTCGCTACAGATTTCTGCAGTGTGTCTGTCAACTTTCAGCAGCGGGCACTGGGTCTGAATAATCCCTACATCTAGCGCTTGCCACGGGGCCTGAGCACCAACAGCTGTTTGCTGAACAAACAAACGCCCCACATGTGACGACCTGTCACACTCCCGCTTAAGGCCGCATCTGCTGACTCCAGCAGACACCTGGGACAGACGAGCCACCGCCGCGTTCAAGTAACTGTTCCACCTGCATTCACTCACCAATTCTATCGGCAGGTGGTGTGACGGGCTCCAACTCAGAGGCTTGTACCCATCACATGGCCTGCCACACCAGAGCCTAGCGTGCCACAAGCCAGATAGCATGTGCTCTATTTCCAACCCCCTGGGGACCTCAGCCCTCGATCACCCCCAAAGGCAAGTCAGTGACACACGCGAAGACAAGGTCTCAGCAGATCCCATTTCTGCCACAGATCTCTAATCCCTGGCAGGGCCCTGAAAAAGCCAAGGGTGAGAATATCCACTGGTGGAAAATTTTTTTTGAGTTGTAGTCTCACTCAGTCTCACCTATGTGAGTAGAGTGCCACGCTCATGACACTGCAGCCTTGACTACCTGGGCTCAAGTGATCCTTCTACCTCAGCCTCCCAAGTAGTTGGGACTACAGGCACACATCACCATGCCCAGCTAATTTTTTTATTTTTGCAGAGATGAGGTCTCACTGTGTTGCCTAGGCTAGTCTTGAACTCCTAGGCTCAAGCAATCTTCCCACCTTGGCCTTCCAAAGTGCTGGGATTACAGGTGTGAGCCACTGGCCCATGGTAAAAAATTCGGAATGACTCAAAACCCATTTATGAAGAGAATCATGAAAGCCTCTTCAACACCACATACTGTCAAAAAGTACTGACGCAGGTTGACACAGAATCTTCTCAAAGATATACTGACAACCAAAACACTCTTGGGACAACATATTTACATGATCTCTTTTTGTATGAAAAAGCTCATGAAACTTTTCTCTGGTTCACATTCTATTATTACAGAATGCATTTCCAGGTATCCACTGGGAGGGCTGGGGAGACTGTTGCCTTATCAGTGCAGTATGAACAATGAATACGGAAATAAAGGAAAAACTACAAAGCTTTAAACTTTAAAAAATAAAAATTGTCACAACTACCTAAAAAACAAAAGGAGCCTTAGGGAAACAAAACAGAAGGGAAATGGATGGGTTTGGAATCCTGCCCCCTTCAACTTCCTAAATATAATGGAAAACTTCAGTTTGTCTTTTTTTTTTTTTCTTCTAAAGTTGGAGTCTCACTCCGTTGCCCAGGCTGGAGTACATTGGCACCCTCACAGCCACCCCAGCGTCAACCTGCTGGGTTCTGGTGACCCTTCTGCCTCAGTCTTCCAAGTAGCCGGAACTACAGGTACACACTATCACGCCTGGCTAATTTTTTTATCTACTGTAGAGACGAGGTTTCACCACCAAGTTGCCTGGGCTGGTCTCGAACCCATGAGTTCAGACAATTCACTCGCCTCAACCTCCCAAAGTACCGGGATTACAGGCTGAGCCACCTAGCCTAACCTTCAGTTTGTCTTTTAATGGCCATGACAGCTGGGGCCCAAGAAGAATGGCTGATTGCACAGAGCCCTGTATACAGAAGGCAGTCAGCTGGGCTCGGTGGCTCAGCCTGTAAGCCCGCGCCTTTGGGAGTCTGAGGTGAGTGGATTGCCTGAGCCTGCGGGTTCGAGACCCGCCTGGGCAGCGAGACCTCCTCTCTACAATAAATCAAAAAATCAGCTGGGCGAGGTAGCGCATGCCTGTAATTCCGGCTACTTGGAAGGATGAGGCGGAAGGATCGCCGGAGCCCAGCAGGTTGAGGCTGCGGTGGCCGGGAGCGGCCACTGCACTCCAGTCTGGGCAACAGAGACTCCAACTCAAAAAAAAAAAGAAGACAGTCAATGCACGCCCACTGGTGCAGAAGCCAAAAGCTGAGCCCATGTCTCAGACACCAGCTCTGGGATGTGAGCCCCTCCCTTGCCCACCAACCTAGAATATTGGCCTTGAGGGCAGTGGGGACCCCAGTCCTTACTTATCTGTGCCCAATGCCTCTTGGCACCCACTAACTCAACTGCTCAGTGAATAGACTGCTCACACCCATGTGCATGCCCTGGCACCCCAGGACGTGGGGCGGAGAGCATTTTGTTTTGCCCAAGTTCTTCCCTAAGCCTGGAACCCCTGACCCGGTCATGGGGCTCAGCACTTTGAGCACAAGACCCATGCGTTCTGTTAGGTCTCTGCATGCCTGGGCCACGAAATGTTCATCACACAGCGGAATGAAGGATGCCTGCCCCAGTCCCAGGTTGGCGCCCACAGGGACCGTGTCCCAGAGCTCAGGAGACAAGCCAGCCGGCCCACGTCAGCGCAGCCGCCTCTGCCCGCTCTTTAGGAGGAAGGGCCCCCAAGCCCTCCTGCCTTTCTTCGCCCTTCAACAGCATCCCCGGGAGGCAAGGCCTCCCAGGCATCAGCTGCTCAGATGTGGACTGGTCTCACCACTCGCCAGCTCAGTGGCATGGGAAGGTTCTGATGTCTCTAGGCCTCAGCTTCCCTATCTGCAAAAAGGGACCGCTGCCAACAGGGTTAACCGACTTAAGGGAGTGAAGGGCTTGGCAGAGAGCCTGGCACACAAAACATCCTCAAGACACCAGTGGCTGCCACAGTTGTTTTTTTTTTGTTTGTTTGAGTTGGAGTCTCACTCTGTCGCCCAGACTGGAGTGCAGTGG